TAATTCTTTTTACAAGTGGTTGATGCAACTTGCCAACATTTAAAGGATTTTTATGCATATATTCATGAAGGGCATTGGTCTCCTTCTTAGTTCACACTATTTCTGACTGGTTTGGTATCAGAATTCCAGCTTCATGAAAAGAATTGGAAAGTGTTCTTTGCACATCTATTTTCTGGAAGTTGTATACAATTTTTTCTTTTAGCATTTATGAAATTCTTTGCACAAAATCATCTAGACTAGAGATTTGAGGAACAGTTTTTAAATCATCATGAATTTAATATTATTATTAGTTATGGGGCTATTTAAAAGGTCTGTATTTTAATGGGTGAGTTGTGGTATTTAGCATACTTGAAAAATTAATCATTTTACTTTTCAATATGTGTATAAAGTTGTTCATCATATTTCTCTATCATCTACTTTGTGTTTGCAGCATCTGTGGTAATATAGCTGTTTCATGCACGATACTTAAATTCGTGTGATCCTTTGTTGTTTTCCTTGAGGTTTGCCAATTTTATTGAACTTTAAAAAGAACTTGGTCTTTGTTTCATTGATTTTTCTCTATTATATTTGTCTTTAATTGATTTTTGCCTTTTATCTTTTTTTAATGCTTTAGTTTCATTTTCCTTGTTCCATTCATATGCCTGCAGTGGAAGCACAAGCCGGTAATTTGAGACTTCTCTTTGTCTTCTAATAAATGTGTCTAATGCCATGAGTTTCTTCTCAGCATGGTGTTAACTATGTCCCACAAATCTCACATGCTCATGTTTTCTTTTCATTCAGATCAATATTTTTTAAAGTTTTCCCTGAGACTTCCTCTTTGACTTACGGATAATAAAAATGCTTTGTTTAATTACCAAGTGTTGAAGGTTTTCCTGTTAGCATGCTCATATTACTTTATAATTTGATTGTGTTATTTTTGTATGATTTCAATTCTCTTAAAAACAAGCTTTGTTTGCTGGGTGTGGTGGTCCATGCCTTTAATCACAGACTTTTCTTTGAGACTGTTGTGAATGACTACTTTTCTGATTTCTTTGTTAGGAATTTCTTATCTGTTTTAAGTGTTCTTGCTATTACTTGTTGAAGCATTTTTTTGTTATTATGGCCATTTATGCTTTTTATGAAGTCTTTCTCATTCCGTGTGAGATATTCTTGGTTCTTGGTAGAGTGATTTTTCAATGGAACCTAGGCAATCCGTCAAGTTATAAGATCCTGGATATTTAAAAACTTTTTCCTTTTTAGCTTTCTCTGACATTGTTCCAGAAAATAAAACATATTCCTGCCTTATTACTGAGTGGTAGCAGTAGAAATTCAGTTCTCTATGTGTGCCGTTTATTGTCACTGAAAGATGTGGAAGGTATTCCTCCTTATTACTGGTTGGGCATGTGAGCCTCAGGTCTCCTCAGGACCTCTGATATGCTGCAGACTGGGATTAGTAGAAGAGCCTTATTGCTCGTAGCAAGGTGTGTGTGTGTATGTGTGGGGGGGGGTCTTGTTATTGCTGGTTGCAGATGAAAGCTTTTCCTCTCCACCAGTCTTTTTGTGACACCCCCCAGGGGGAGATGAGAGGCATGTGGAGAGGTTGAGGGTCCAGGTTGCTCTGGTTTCTGCTGATATTGCTAGGACAGGGAAAGGACCCTCCTCACCACAACCTGGTGAGGACAGAAGTCTGTGGCCCCACTTAGTCTTTGCCAGCCTGGGCAAAGGTGAGGCTGTCAGTTTTTCTGTTGAGTTTGGCTGGAGCAGAGGGCTTATAAGGCTTTGGCTGGAGACAGTAGGCTTGTGTTGGGACTTTTGTCTGTATGTTAGTATTTCTTCAGCTCATGGGTCTGGAACATGTGACACAAAATGAAAACAGAGGGAATTTATAATCCTGTGGAATTTTTGGATCCTGTAATCTAGGGCCAGTTCCCCTTTTCTCTACTTTGCAGTTTTCTCATGTTTGACTGACATATGTTTAAGGTTTTTAGTTGTACTTAAGGGAAAGCTAGGGTAAATGTACTCCACTTTAGTCAGCTTTATTTTGGATAGATTATCATGAAGGTTAGACAAAGGCATGTGTCTATTCTTATTTCTTGGAGCAAAGAACAACAGGGGAAGATGAATGGGACCTGGGATTGGAGTCAAAACATCCTACTCACTGGCTTTTACTTTGACAGTATGTTGACCACCTCATGAAACACGAGCATAAAAGAAGTATAAAGCACTGACCCTGGCTTCAACCAGCAGGTAGTCTGGCTAGGAAGTCAAGTTGCCAGTCACAAAGTGCATTTTCCTCATAAATGTGGCTATTTTGTGTCCAGTGAGCTGTGTACTTGTCAAAGTAGAATGATGTCAAGACGGGTGACCAGGGCAATCTCACCTCTCCCAGAAGAGGCAGAGTGTGGATTGAGCTCAGAAAAACCAAACATGAATATTTGAGAGAGGACAACTGGTGAGAAGGTATCAAGCTGGTGAGAAAAAATTGACAAAACCGTGGGTCAATAATAATAATAATAATAATAATAATAATAATAATAATAAAAGCCACAATGTTGAATTGCAGAGTATTAGGTCCTGGATATTCTGCCAAGAGCCTTGCATGGATGATTCCATGTGATCATCCTTTGCAACATGCCTGTGCAGTATGAGTTACTTCTTATTTTATACCCAAGGAGACTGAGATTCAGGGTGGTAACTTCTCCAGCTTCACACAACTGTATTAAGAGGAAGTAATGGATTCATGTCAGGTTGGTCTGAAATATCTTAAGCATTATAATTGAATTCCTGGATAGCATGCTTCATTGGGCTTATACATGGGATTAAACTGGGCATGAAGAGAGAAAGTTTAGAAATTGAGGTCCAGGGTATGAGCCCTTGCATTTTTGAGCACAGGTCTCCCCAAACATATTTGACTCAAGAGCAAAGGTCCTACAGTAGGCATCTCTAAGGATAACAGAAGGGACCTAAGACAGACAGAAAACAAGATGAGAAAAAAAGCCTAATTTCCATTATGCAAACAGAAAGGAGATGTCACATTGACCACCCTGCAAAAACCCTGGGTCTTGTCATAGTGAATGCTGTTTCAAAATGACTAATAAGACAGAAACCTTCAATGACACTTATTCCCTATATTTTCCCTTCCTCCTCCTTTCATAGAAGTTCTACATTAGGACTGGCAAAATGGCTCAGAGGCTAAAGGCATCCCCCGGCCCCTGGAGGTGCAAGCCCTGAGACCTGAGTTTGCTCTCTGGAACCCACACAAATGTGGAAGGAGAGAACCAACTCCACAAGTTTCCTCTAACTGCCACATGTGCATAGTGGCATGTGCACAACCCCCTCCCCAACATATAACACACTAACAATAACAACAGGAATATATATTTTTTAATTTCTATACTAGGGGCTTTTAAGAATAAAGCATTTTGTTTTTCAGTATAATCTTGGAGATAGAATGGTTTAATTTGTGTTTGGCTGCCGGTTCCTTGTTTTTAAGAAGTTGTGTTACTGAGTCATGCTTATTCACTCAGAAGTGAGGTTAAGCTAATTAGGCACAATATGGGTAGGAAGAATGACATCACATGCCTCCTTCAAAGAGACAGAGGAAGACACAGGGGAAGGATACCAGTTGAATCTGGTTGCATAAGGCTGGATAGGAGTAGCCCTCACCCAAAAATGAAAGACCAGATATACTCCAGTGAAGGTCGTTTTTCTTCTTGAGACAGTGCTGACCCTAGAACTCACTGGGTAGCCCAGGCTGGCCTCTAGTGCTGGTCTTATAGGTGTGTGCCACCCCAGCTGGCTTTGATTGAGCTGTTAGATGCCATGTTTGGACTAAGACAGTCAAGACACAGAGTGCCGGCCTCCCCTCAGCCTTAACCCGGCTGCCGCTAGGAGACCGGTCCCAATAGCTGAAGGTCTGGGGAGGAGAGAGGCGGGTACAGGGAGGGAGGCCTCCTGCAGCAGCGAGTCTGACAGGAAGAAAACACCTGGGAGGCTGTGTCAGTGGACAGCTCCTTCATTATGGCAGAAGCAGAGGTTTATATAGGAAAGCTTCATGGCAAAGAGGGGGGCTGGGTTTTCTGGCAGGCTGGCTGGTAGGGGGAGGGAGGGGGCTATTGAGGCTATGTGGCCTTTGTCCTGTCCTCCAGTCACATAATCTACAAGGGACCGGTTAGGATTAAAGGATTAGAGGCTTAATGGTTTTGCTTGGGGGTTGTTGGGTAAGACACAGTGTCCCTAGAATGGAGCAGTCCAGCTTCCTGCCGTCCTCACTGGCCTGGCGGCCATGCTCTACATTCCAGGCACTCCTGACTTATCCCAACAACAGAGCTGGTAGAATTATAATTATAAACATTTCTTATTGCCACAGTAGGGATGGCCAAAGAGCTCCTCGGTCTGGGAGAAACTACAGGCTATTTACAAAAAGAAATATTTCATAGAATGTTAATTCCATGCAGCGACCTAAAAAAAAGGGAAAAAGGTGTGTGTGTGTGTGTGTGTGTGTGTGTGTGTGTGTGTGCATGGTTTGTAACAAACACCAGGCTAAATAAGTTTCTTTACTACAAGCCTTCTCAGAGCCTTTTAAGCTTTAAAGTGTACCACAAACGCTTAAGAAGGGATTATGATATACAAGATTCCCAAATCTATTTGTTCAGGAAGTCCCCTGACCAACCTTAAGCCATAAACACGAACAAAACTCTATACCCAATGGTAGATTTTCCTCTGATTCCTCCAACACATGCCTGATGAGTGCTTCTAAGATTCCTTGAGAGGCAGATGAATGTTTCTGTTTCAACTCAAGACTCACAAAGCCAAGCAATTTTCTTTACAATTACCCCCCCCACACACACTTTCTCTCCCCTACCCCCATCTACACCATCCCAGGGAATCAATGAACTAATTCATGAGAGGAAATTGCAGCTATGTTAAATACTTTTTAAAAAATCAATGCTTGATTATAATTAGATTATAAAGCAGAATCATATGGTCACATCTCCTCCAGCTGGCCAACTGTGCCATCTTCATTCTGGGTTCTTGGTTGATCCCTGCAGCTGGTCATCTGCTGCCACCTGAGCAAAACAGCTGTTGAGGCCAGCTCCACTCTCTCTCTTGGAGGCCTGGGGAACATTTTGGAACTCCTGGAAGGAGGGATCTCTCCTTCCAGAGATCTGTTCCATCCTCTGCTCATTCTTCTTGATGCTCTCTTTGATGCTCTCATTGTGGCATGTCTCCTTCTCGGCTTTCAGCTTCAGGATGTGATGGTTCCTCTCGTGCATGGTGCTGCGCCACGTCCCAGGTGGTCCCATGCGCCACTCCTGGCCTGCCTCACCCTCTGCTCAGCCAAATCAGCCAGTATCCTCTTGGGCACCTCCACCTGCCTCTGCTCTTCCGAATCCCCCAGCGCGCCACCTGACTTGCTGGAACTGCTCTGCCTCCCTCTGGACCTTCTGCTGCCCTCGCTGCCACTCCTTGATCCGCCGCTCCTGAATCTCGTGGGACCTGTGGGAACTCTGCTCCAGCGACAGCTTCCTGAGGAGCTCCTCGGCCTCGGTCTAGCTGACCATGAGAACGCTACGGGCCTGGAAATTGACGGGGAAACTCAGGCTACTCTCCTGCACCTTAGTCTGATCCTGCCCCCCACCCCCCCGCCCCCGCACTGCTGCTTGGGACAAGCTGACTCCAGCCTGTTCTGCAGCTGCAGCCTGTTCAGGTCCCCAGGCTCTGGAGCACCCTCTCCTGCTCCCGCAGGCGCCGGACCTGGCACTGTTTGAGGCGCTCCGCCTGCATGTGCGCCCTGTCCTGCTTCTCCACGTCGTGGTTCTCCTGGTTGTCTTGTGGCTCCTTCCTGCCGCTCTCCGACAGGATCTTAGCCTTCCCTTCGCCTGGCCATCCCGCCCCAGGCGGAGCTGTTCGAGGCCCCTGTGAGGCTTGTGCTGTTCCTTCTGTGTCTGCCATTGCTCTTGAGTCTGCTGCAGCAGAGCCAGCGCTCTCTCTCCAGAGGCAGGTGGACCTTCTGGTCTGAGCGCTTCAGCTCTTCCCAGGCGACCTCTGCCCGATGCTGCAGTTCCCGCGTCCTCTGGGCCTTCGTGAGCAAGCTCAGCACCAGGGCCACAATCTTCTGGTCCCTGGAGGACATCACCGCCTCGTCCAGCTTGCTCTTGAGGACCTGAGCTTGCTGGCTCCTCATCTCTTTGTTGGAGGTTGGGGGACTGGGAGTACTGGCCGGCTAAGGACTCAATCGGATTGCCGCTGCCCCTCTTCTGGGCGCACACACTGGCGGGTGGCTTCCGGTACTCTTGGGGGTGCACACGGGACTTGTCGGGGAGAACTGAGGAAGGGGACCACAGACCCAGGTGTCTGCACACCGGCACTGCCCACTGATCTCCAGTCTGCGCCTTTTCTAAACCCAAAGTTCCATCGCTCGGGCACTGAAATCTCCCCTGGGGTTCGGCGGGACCAATCTCGCTGGCAGGGCTGAGGTTGATGCGGTGGTTGCTGCTGCTGCCAGTCCCGGCTGGACTTGGTCCATGCCTCACCCCAGGCTTCTTCCCGGCGCTTGCTGCCTGACCGGAGCTTCCTGGAGCGATCCAAGGGCCTGCCGGCCACGTGGGTCAGGTTGTGGCTTTCCTGGGACCAGGCGATGTGGCCACGCCGGCGGGGCCACGAGGTGGGGCAGCAGCTAGGGTGCAGCCAGGCCTCCCCTGCCTCACTCTCCGCGCCTGGAGTCTCGGCCCAGGGGTTTACCGACGACTCCCGCTGGCCCTTCTGCCCCGGGAACTGGGGCTCCCAGAGCTCCCCATAGGACTGTGGAGAGAAGTGGTGGAAGCCGGCCAGGCTCCCTTTCCGGCAGGTCCAGAGTCTACGCGAAGGGCCCTCCCTCCAGGGGGCAACTGGGGCCGCCCGCCCCGCCCTGCCCTCGGATCCCGGGATCCGTGTGGCCTGTGACGCTCCAGCCACTTCACAATGCGCTCTGTGACTTCGGGTCCCCGCAGGCCTCAATGCGCCTGGGCTTTAGTGAGAGAGGACAGAGTCTGGGGATAGATGCTTGGGAGGAGCTGGCTGGAGGGTTGTAGGAAAACAGAGCTGACATTTAGAGATGAGGGTCCTGATGTTTCAGGCAGGAGTTTGCACTGTTGAATTAGTGGGATTGTAAGCGTGCCCAGTCCAAAGGCGGGCATCACCCTAAAAATAGAATGCAGAGCAGTGTAGCGGAAGGAGGGAGCGAGAGCGAGTCCTCTGAGTCGCATCCCTATTATTCCTATTCTGATTTTTGTTTTGTTTAAGTTTTTATTTTCCGGGGGGTGGGGGGATGCGTGCCACAGCAGGCGTAGGGAGATCAGAAGACAACTTGCAAGAGCGGGTTCTCTCCTTTGACCACGTGAGTCCTAGGGAATCACACTCAGGTCTTCAGGCTTGGAGGCAAGCACGGTAATCCGATGAGCCATCCGCCTAGCCCGCAGCATCCCTAACCTGTGCGCCTCTGCAAAGTGTGCAGGGAAACAGCCAGGAAGGCACCCCAGTCTGCAAATCCACCCTTTTACCACTTTACCTTTGCAACCCCAACGCATGCTTCAAGGTTTATGTTTTTAAAAGTTAGCACAGCAAAAGGACATTTCTGGTTTTTCCCTAATGTAACAATTACAGCTTCTGTCAAATCGCGAATGTTGCCCATGTGGTTTGGACATAGCATGCAAACAAGACATACAAACCACATTTCTTGGCTTTTTGTCCTTTTCTCCAGTTTTGTGACACTTTTTTCTTGCTGAGGCACTTTGGATTTATATAGGCAAATGAGTATCACTTTTCCACTGTCAACCCATGTGATATTGGACAAGTCGCTTTCCTGACCCTCAAGTTCTGGATTGGAGTGCTGCAAATAACCAGCTGTGCAAGGCCAGCACTGAGGTGGTGAAATGGAACCCTGTGGAAAGCCTACCACTGTAGTGACTTAATAAATGTTATTTTGATATCCTGCTAAGTTTCCATTAAAAGTTTTAACACTTCATGTATGAGTTTACAAAAATTTCTACAGATTCTTAGCTTCAGAAAAGATGGACTTATGGTAGTTCTGAAGCAGCTGGGGTAAAGGATACCATGTTGAAAGGGGTGACTCCAGGTCTGTCATATCACAGAGTGCTGTGGGTTTTAGTTCAATTATTTCCCTTCCCTGTGAGCTGAAGATACGCCTCCAAACTGTGGTATTGAAATATAATAACAATGATGATGGTATTGATACGTGGGGACCAATAGTGAGGATGGAGCCCTAATAAATGGGATCTGTGGCCTTGTTCCAGAGCAAATGCATCCCACTGTATGAACACTAGTCCCAAAGGGCTGTGAGACTGAGAGTGAGGTGGGCAGAGCCAGAATAGCATTGAGTACAGTTTGTTGAGGACTTACTGACAGATGTGTAGTTGTGGGTAGCAGGAAGAGTAGAGGGTTCCCCATGACTTGGGTCAGAGGTAGGGGACATCAAGTGGTCAGGACGAAAGTGACTTCACCCAAGTTAGAATGTATCCAGTTTAACTCAAGGTTCTATCAACCGCATCTGGAGTGTTCCTGGGCTCATGGTACCAGAGTCCAGGTTGTAAAGCTCTACCTACTGCTTGAATGGCTGATTCATAGAGATGTATCCCCAGGCCACATGTGCCCCAGGATAGTTATGAATATGGTATACCAAAAATCATAAACTTACTATGAAAATTTATAAGATTTTTAAATTCCATTGCTTAATTCCCAAGCATGAACTTTGTAGAGTACAATACTATACTACAGTGTCAAAAGGTTAGACATGTTGGGTGCTGGGAAACTGTGTTAGGCAACCAACCAAAGCTGCCAAGGGGCAACCATGACAATTACCATTCAAAATGACTCTGGTCAGTTCACACTCAATCCACAGAGCATTTATTAAAGGAGGGATAGCAGGTGACTCGGGGTAAAGGTTCTTGCCACCAAGGCTGACAACCTGGGTTCAATCACCAAGGACCCCCCCACGCAGTGGAAGGAGAGAACCAATTCCCCCAAGTTATCTTCTGTCCTCCACATGCCCACTGTGGCATGCATGTGTGTGTGTGCACACATGCACACACACAAATAAATTTCATAAAAAATGTTAAGAAGATGAATACTAAAAGTATCTCAGACAGCTTCCTGTTCTTCTCTCTGCCATGTGAGGGCACAATGACTAGAAAGGCCTCCCTATCGGGCACTAAGACTACCATGCCTTGTTATTGACTCTCTCAGCCTCAGAATTGTGAGAGATGAATGTGTGTTGCTTTTAAGCCACCTGGTCTGTGGTATGTTGTATCAGTGGAATGGACTGAGATGGGGTGCAAAAGAAAGTTCTGGATAGCATTCTCCAAAGATAATGAGTCATTAGAGAAGAAAAAGGAGTGCTTTCTTATCCCTGTCTTTCCTGACACGTATCATTATGTCTGGATTGGGTTGTTGTTATTTCTCACTGACCTTAATCATAGAACACAGCAACACCAAGAGACACACTGAAGAATCTCCTGTGCTCCAGACATAATCTTCCTTACCCCCATTATGGAGAAGCAGTCCAAGATCCCCCTGGTCATCTGGCTCCGTCACCCCTACTAGCACTGTATTTCTTTTCTTAGTATGTCAATTCTAAGGCATCAGAAGCCCAAAGTGACCTGGGGGAAGTCTTAGTTCAATGGAATGTTTGTAATGCCTCCTGGGAGGGGCAACTCTCCTTTTTGGAGTACGGACTTCTAGACCAGCAGAGCACAGGGTTGTAGGAACAGGAAGCAAAAATTTACTGGTGGGTCAATAGGGGCGATTGTGACTGGTACAATTCCTATTTCCACCCCTCAGTTCTTGGACCCATGAATCCTAGCTATGGGAGAAACACTACCATATATTGGATGCTGATTCAAAAGATATACAACCTTCTGGGGAACCTTGCCCAAGTCCCCCAGGCTGTCGCCACCTAGCTGGCACTGTAATTTCATCTTTAAAAGACGATTCTACCATTCTATCAAGCCAGCTGTTTCAGGATGGTGGGAAATATAATACCAGTGGATTCCATGAACCCGAGCTCACTGCTACACTTCTTTGGCTGTGAGGTGAGTGCCTTGGTCAGAAGCTATGCTGTGTGGAATGCCACACCCATGGATAAGGCATTCAATAAGCCCAGAGATGGCAATTTTAGCAGAAGCATTGCATGTACAAAGGCAAATTAGAATAAGCATCTACTCCCATAAAGACAAAGCATGGCCCTTTCCATAGTTTCATGATAGAAGTGGTCTGGAATAGCCAGCCTGCCTCCAGGCTGCTGACCAGCTGCCCTGGGCAATGATGCTGTAATTATGGGGTTGTTGTCAGTTTCTGATGCAGGTGAGCTTTGGTGAGTCAAAGTCCAGGTTGGAAGGCCAAAGAAACTGGAGTCTGAGATCAGTAGCGGAAGACAACAACCCAGTGCTGGTGGCAATGACAGACACTCACCCAGCAAGAAGCAAAGGTGGGCAGGCAGGCAACACTGCTTTTCCTCCAGACTGTGTTTGTGGGCCACCACTAAGAGGTACCCCTCCCCCGAACCCCAGTCTGAAGGAAGGTCTTCATCTCTCAGTTAATCCTTTCTGGAAACATCCTCACAGACTGCCCAGAGGTGTGTCTGTTAGTTGATTTCCAGATCTCAAGTTGGCAATCAGATTTAACTATCACCTTCACCCATGCTTATGGAAGTAATCCCAAATAAACTCATTAATCCACCAAGTTGGATTTAGATGGAATCCTTCCTTTGGTCACACAACAATGTTGTGTGTAGTCACCTTAACAGAGGTCTGAGAGGAGGGAGGAGTTGGTTCCAGCTGGATCACACACATAAGAGATGAAATAAAAGATGAAATTGGAGCTAAATTCGGGAGGACAATAGGATGTTGGGACAGGGTTGAGCAGGGAGACACATCTGGCTGAGGATGCTGCATGGGCCACAGTGTGGAACCTCCGATGCCTGGCATGTTGGGGTTGTGTGTGTTTGGTAGTAGCGGCGCAGTGGAGCAGCCAGTGATAAAGCCAGAAAAGCGAGCTGGGCCAAGATTCTCTCAGGCCTTCAATGACAAGCCAGAGAACATGGCTTCCTCCCCCAGGTGAGAAAGTTCCAGCTGTGTCCAGAAGAACTCCAGGACCTCTGGGCTCTGCCTGGACCCCAGAGCAGATAGGGTCATGAAGTCTTTAGGACAGACTCTGAGGGTCTCTGTCCCTGCCCTACCCAGAGCAACTTTAGATTTTAATCTATTCTATATCCCTGGGCTCCTAGGTCAAGTAGATTGAAAAAAAATTCCAGGGTTCTTCTGCATTTAAAAGAAAAAGAAATATTGAAATACACCATGCAGAGAAGAGTTGGACAGTCAATAAAAATGTTGAAGGCAGAAAAGTTATCCAAAGGAACCTGTGTTTCGAAAGCCCATCCTGGCAAGTGTGAATGGTAAGTGAGAAAGCTGAGGGGCATTCTGGGTGAGCGGTAAGGGTGTATGAACCAGGACAATGGGAAGGAAAGAAGGGTGGAGCCAGAGACAGCTCAGCAGTCAAATGACTGGAACCTGGAGATGGAGTGAGTTGGGGAGAGTTTCCAATCTGAGCGTCAGTTAGAAGGTAGTGATTCTAACAAAGATATGCAGTCTTGGACCAGGGAGATGGCCCAGTGGGCAAAATGCTTGCCACACAGCATGAAGACCTGAGCTTGGGTCCCCAGCACCCATGCAAAAAGCCAGACACAGAGGTGTGAGATACAATTCTAGCACTGGGGAGATAGAGCTAGGTGGATTCCTGGTGCTCACTGGCGGGCTAAATTGGTGAGCTCCATGATCAGAGAGAGACCCTTTTGTAAAAAATAAAGTGGAGAGCAATTGAGGAAGACACCTTCATGACCTCTAGTCTCCAGACACTTGCACATGCATGCACATACAAACACATGCACACACGCACTCACAGAAACACATACATAGCACACACAAGAAAAATATTTGCAGTCTAGGTGACCTTGAG